CGCGGGGAGCAACCGGCCCGGGCACCATGGCGCATGCGGCCGCCTCGGAACCAGCCGTGCCCCACATCGCCGCCGGGGAACGGCGCCTTCGACACCCCGGCCGGGCGGGAGCGGAAACTCGGCTACAACATCTATGGAAGAAATGTCTGGCCAAGGAGAATCCCTTTTGAGACACTCGGCCACTAGGAGGAGGCAGGATGAAAATACAGCCTCGTTCTTTCCCTGTTTTCAGGTCAGTTTCCCACTCCGCAGCTATGACTGCTGTCCTGTGAAAGACTGACTCATGCTCAGGGAACAGAGCTCTGGCAAAGTTTCTAATTTGAATAATTTATAAGGATTCAAAAAGTAACTTGCTAATGACAGATGCACAACAATCTACCAATACGCGGTATTGGCTTCTCAGGTAGCCAGTTTTTCGTAGTATTGAAGTTGTCTTGCATAGAAACTTGAATTGTTTCAAATTAGCAAAAACCCTTTGAATAAATAGGAGTTTGTTCACCTCAAGGTGCTGGAATCTTGCTCAGGGTCAGTAAATGTTTTCCGTCGTAGTATTTTACTTTTGACTATATAGAAGGGATATATAACTTTTAAACATACACATTCTCTCCCTTTTTGCAGGGGCTCTCTTCCTTCAAATAATGCAAGATTCCAGGATTTTGAGCTTCCAGCAGCGACTAGCTCTCCAACAAATCTCTCATCAAACCTACTCGCTCAGTTTATTTTTCCAAGGGAAAAATAGAACAAAGAAATGAAAAAAAGTTAAAATAATTAAATATTATTACATTTATAGTCTGAAAAAATATGTAAATCAACTGCATTGAACCTTCTATTAGCTTTTAAATATTCACGTCAGTATGTTCTTTAGGACAAATGAGATAATCGAGTTAACATTGCTAGATAAATCAACGCTTTTTCCTGAGCTGCAAATATTCCAGATGATAAGCCTGAAGTTTTGCAATCCAGTAACTACAAATGGAAACTAAACAGGTAAAAGTGAGCAAGCAGGAGCTGACATTTGAGTACCCAGAGGCCCAATTTACTGAGACATACAGTAGCAGCCCCATCATTTCAGATAGGTAACTGAAGACCAAATGGCTCTTAAACGTAAAACCCAGCTTGGCCACAACATGCAGGAGAAGCTCAGTATTTTGGCTTGTTCTGTGAACAACATGAGACCGCATGATTTAAAACAACACAAGACCCCACACCTCCTCACCCAAAAAAAAAAAAAAAACTCACAGAAGACCAATGTCTAAATAGATTGTAGTGAAACCTCCAGCCACAGGTAGTGGGATATCAAATTCCGTTCTGTCTTTCCTCTGAGCACTGATACAAGGGTGGAGTTCACATTGCACAGAAATAGTTACTTCATAACAACGAATCACCTCTCTTATTTGGGAGGTCAACTACAACAGTCCAAACTACTCACACACAATCCCCGTTAGTGCCTGTGTGGGTGGGAGTGGACAGAAGCAATGAAGAGCTTCAGTGCTCAAACCCTGTTGGAAAACCAGATTTTTGTGAGCTGCAGACCTTGACAGCACCAGGACAACATGTAAAGTCAGGCAGATAGCAAATAAAATTGTTCTGTGGCTAGAAGCATCAACTGCTAGCCACTTATATGTGATGCTTTCCATGCTTCTTCCTTCCAGGCCAGACAAACTCCTGATAAAAAGGATAGGTAAGAAAAGGGGCAGCAAGAATCAGCTACACAGAGGTCTTCTGTAGTGTTGTAGCAAACTTTTAATTCTACCAGAACAGCACCTGGATTTCTGTCTTTGTGTGATGCTGGTGAGAAAACTGATCAGATATGCTGCAGTACGGATCAGCACCAGTTTTCTTGGTTTTTTTTTGTGGTTTGTTGTTGTGGTTTTTTTGGGTTTTTTTTCAGTTCCTAGAATAGCGGGGTCAATTTACAAGCTTCTCTGTCAACTGCCCAAACGAAAGAGCAATGTGAGAACACTAAGTTCACTCCCAGGCTGGGCACTGTGTACCAGCAATGAGAAAGCTGGAATTTGACTCTCTCAGATTTGAGTACACCATGTTTCAGTGCACATGCACTTTGATCAAAAGCATAAACCTTTATCTGTAGTAAAAAATACTTTCTATATCAGCCAGCTAGAGATACACAAAATGCATCCAGATTATAGGGCCAGTTACCCTCATGTGGGAAAGGATGATCCCAACTGACCTTCAGGTTTATGAATTCCCCTCATTTATCATTACTCACCTTTCTTTCAGAAAGCTGCCACTGGCTTCTAGCACTGCATCAGTTCATTGTTAAGACCACAAGGAGCTGAAGTGTTTAGTTTAACGCTACAACCTTCACAGGACATAGCTGCAACCACACTGGGTTGCCTTGGTGCAATCTGTTGACTCTGAACTTTGAGCTCCTCATGTGGAAGACCAAAGGCTGACAGTCTTCACCACAAGCAGAATGCTCCAGGCTGTTTCTGTTCTCTCTTGTCCACAACTTGCAAATTTTATATGCATCAAGTCAGTCTGCAGCAGGATTGCTAATCATTTTGGGTTTATTCTATTTTTCCCAGTGAAGTAACTGAATTTAATTAAGTGTGGTTAAGTAATCTGCTGGACTGAAGGGAACACATCTTCTCCAAATGTAACATACTGGAAAGATACAATACAGCTGGTGGCCTCTGAAACTACTTCCAGACATTCAGAACCTACAGAGAAGTTCTTCAGATAGCCACTGTAGCGTGCATGCTCTGAACCTACACTGCCCAGAACATACACCTTCCCATAGCACAACATAAGCAGTTTCTAAGGGCACAGCATAAAAGCCAGTGGGAAACAATGAAGGCTTGTCTTCCACCCATTCCAGCAATTTCTGAAGTTATTACAAATTCATTTGGCAGAGAGTGTCACAAACACTTCATGCATGCAGAGAGGTAATTTAAATAAGCACTCAAAAGATCAGAAAAAGGCAAGTTTCCCTGTAGGGTGGGTATTTTAGGAGTGCGTGGTACCATGCCACCTGCTGATAGTACAGTGAGCCACTGACATCAGCATGCTCTCCTGGAAAAAAAAAGACCCTTTACAGAACAAGTTTCTACACATTTAAAGCAGCAGAAAGCACACATCATGGGGTAATAGTCTCCTCCTTGGAGTACCACAGCAAAAGACAGATGGATAGAAATCAGTGCTTTGGTTCCCATCCACAGGACGACGACAGGGACTAGCCACAACCACCCTTTTTCTAACAAGGGTGCACACAGCAAGCTGAGGTGCGGACAAGGATACACAGCTTGAATCTTCCTTACATACAACAAAAGGGTACATCTTCATTCAAACCCACAGGAGCTTTTCAGCCTCTGTAAAAGACGCTATTTTTGATACAAGTAGTCACTTTTAAAAAAGGTAGTCACCGTGGCCTGTGACGAGACCTTGTGCATAGAACACATTGCAGAAAGGGCTCAAACGCTGCTGAGTGGCAGGACAGCAGTGTTCATCAGGACATCTCCTGAACTGCAACTAGCCTAGGACTTGTAGTCAGGATCTTGATATATTTTCCAGAACCTGAGGTAAACAAAGTGCAATGCTGCCCAGAAAGGGCATTCAGCTCTCACCAGAAAGCGGTGACAAGTATCCTGCTTACCTTGGACAGTGGAAATCAGGAAAGATTTAAGCTTAAGATGATGACAATTCTTGAGCAACTGGTTACCTGGCCCTCTCAATCTTTGCACAGCACTAGCAACCTTTTTGGACAACTACGTAGCTCTCCCCCTCCAGAAGCATCAGCAAACTAAAAATACGGCTTGCTCAAGGATAAAAGTAACATAGAAAGTGTGTTCTAAGACACACTCTCTTAGGTACAGTTCTAGAAACAGCCATGTTTAAAATGACATTCATAAAACTTTTTTTTTCTTTTGCTTTTTAATGGCTAAGTGACCTGCCTCCATACATACCAGAGGCAGCACACTGAAAGGACAGCAACAAGCACTTTGGGAACTTGCTCATATGTGCAGGCAAGGAACAGTGTTTCCAGAAATAACAGAGCTGAAAAACATGAAATGGGACCCTGAGATGCAGGTGAAAATGGGAAAATACCCCACAATCCAGAACCCACCTGGGAGTGAAAATTGAGGAATGAAGATTGAAGGGATTACAGATCAGAGATCAGCAGGAGCTGGGCTGCTCTTGCTATTAATATAACCATCTTGTTTAAATACATGGAACAGCACAGAACACAATCCTGCAGCATTTGGGACTGTAAAACACCTCTTCAAAACCCAAGAGTTTAGCACAAAGTGGTGACAGCTGTAAACTGTTCAAGGACCATACACTTTTAAGAGAAATCAGGTACACAGCAAAATGCACCCTCCACTAGAGATGGCAGGGAACCTGTCCTGGTGAAAACCCCAATGCAAGGAACCCGTTTTAACAATCTTCCCTCATTCTGTCCATACCAGACAAGATCATTTACAGTTTCCCCTCCTAGAAGGGAATGAGTTATTGCACAGTCTGAACAAAATGCAAGAAGGTGCTTTCTGCAGACATTGTTTGCTCAGCACACCTTCCTAAAGCCAGGCAGTGAACTTAAGGAAGAACTGTCATAAGAAAACATGCTAATAGTATTCTCTTTAATTTGCATGTGCACTTTCTCTTTTAAACCACTGCTCCAAGTCCTGTTTTTGCTGAGCAGAGATAACATGTCATTCTACTCTGTAGTTCAGTTCCCAAGTTGGCTGTGTGGCATGTGTCCAAAAAGGTGCTAGGCTTGGTTTTACACCCATAGAAGCTGCTCAGAATCAGCCCTTCAGTGTTCAAACAATCTTCAGGAACTACTGAAGTCTCTGAGCCTCTCCCTAGCCAAAAAGCAAAGGAACACAGACATGGTGTAAGTCAGGGGAAGAAGGTGAAGGAAAGCACTTAAAAAGGTGCACAAGTGTTAAAATTCTCTTTTCTTTCTGCCTTCCTCCCCTCTACAGAGTAGCAAAGAGGAGACAAAGGAAGAGAAACAGCAAGATTCAGTGGAAGCCAGAAGGTTCCTGACGGGCTCACCGATGGCTCAGTGCTGCTGCATGAGTGATGGCTCATTGCTTCACTGCTGCTTGGTTTTAACGGATAATCTCTGTATCATCTTGTAAAGGAGACCAAAGTGCTGGAAGCAGAAAGAAAATAAGTAACCATGATTCCTTATAAATTCTAATAAAATGACTGTGTTCTACACAAAAAGAAAACTTACTGGAAGGCTTAAAACAGCACAAATATGCAAATGCAATACCCTGTTTGGATCATCCACTAGCTCTCACATCCTGAAGACAGAGTTGGTGAATAAAGAGGAATTACTACAGTTAAGCCAGTTACTTGGAACTGCATAGAAAATGATGGCTTGCAGAAGTGTTTGTGCAGGCCTCTATCATCCCTATTGTGAAGACACAAACACTTATTAAAAAATTTTTACATTTTTTAAATGCAATTCTGTTCCTTCTAAAGGGGAGCAGAAAGCTTCAGATTTCAACACACACAATACTGGTCACTACAGAAACACTCCTGCTGGCAGTTTCAGAAATGTAAAAACATACCAGCAAACACAGCGTTCTCAGTAGCTGACATTCCTTTAACTGATTTTCTCTTTCACTATTTCACCAGTGACTTACAAATTCACTTAATTTCTCTTTTGATTCTGCTTTGATTGCGTTTTGATTTGATAATAGCTACTTCAGATATCTAACAGATATAACAAGATCCAGGCTTCAGATCATTTGTAATAGCAAACGCAAATAAGATAGCTGACAAAAATCAAAGTGTATGTTTTCCCTCCCATTTATGTTGTCATATCAGATTTTTAAATGCATGTTCTTTTCCCAAACAAACACAAATAACATAGAGAAATGAAAATTTACATTGACATAAAATGCTTCCCTTTCATTTGTGTTCTTTAGAGAATGCAGCCAGAGTCTGAAGCCCAGATCACAGTGGCTTTTATTAACACTTAAACAAAACTACTAAATTTAAGCTGGTGGCCAAGGCATGGAGTATCACGTTTCCAGGACTACAGACACAGGATGTATTTATGGCTTCATTGAAAGAAAAAAAACAACACTGAAGATGCATTGCAATTTCAGACACCATAAGGATCTCTTAACATTCCTAACTTAGTATAGGCTGCAAGCCATTATCATTACAGCAGATTCTAGTTACCTTGAGACAATCCAGTCTGAAGCTGTTACAAAACCAAAATAGCTTAACAAGCGAGTTGTTCAGGTCCTTGACCAAAGGAAGGAGCTCTATAAAATAGTTTTGCACTAGAATGGCAAGAGATTGCCTTCAGCACAGGCAACTGAGATACTGAGAAACATACACATCAAAACAGCCAGCCATTTTGGATTACTGCTTTTAGAGTGGGGTGGCATTACTGTTCCAGCTTTGGTGCCAGGACTGTCAGCACCAGTTACTGTAGCTAACATTATTTATTACGAAAGTAATACATCTGTCTCCTGCTTCACTTGTCTTCTCTTACCTGCACTGCAACATAGGCAACACCAAGGTAGGCTGCAATACAGACAGCCAGAAGCAGGTCAAAGATTGCTGGCTTGACCCTGCAATATAGAAGGAATGCATGAAATTGCTACAGCACATACTGCCACAGAGTGAGACAAAAACCCAACATGGCCAAGGGAATTCCATACCTGTATGCATTCATCACCTGCTTCAGCTGGTCATAGAAAACAAACTCAGGGTCCCTGTGAAAAGAATAATTTCTTCATTTTATATTACACCTCCTGACACTGTAGTAAGGACACCCCAGACCCCAGTTCCCAAGGAGTTCATCCAACCAGAGACAGGTAAGCACGACCACCCTGTACAACAGTTTTGAGCTGATTTTAGTTGTCAGGTCTTTCTTTTCCTACAATCAAGCCTAAGGAGACAATTCAGACCACACACGGTTGAGCTGTCTCAGGCAAGGCACGTGGCAGATACCTCACTGGGTTCATTAAACTGCTCCAGCCCAAGCAGGTTAGACAGGAAGAAGGACAGAAGCTGCCTTTTTGCAATAAAAGAAAGCTTTCTAGGGGAACTTGGTCTCCCTGCTGCATTCCGATGAAGCAGCACTCAAGAGTGAGAAGAGTAGAACCAAAACAGTGAAAAAAAGAAGCTCTTCAGACAGAGGGAGCTGCTGGGACCTGTTACTGTCCTGCAAGAAATGATAAAGAGCTTTCTCTGGAAGAACAGAGAGCACAAACTAAAACTGACAGGAGACCAGAAGTAAGCACTCACTTCTAGCTACATGCCAAGATGCCAGAAAAGCTGCAGCTCAGAGACAAAATTCCTTGGAGAGGAAGCCAGTTTGCCTGCCCTGGCTGGTTCTCTCATCTCTTTTCTTACCGTTTGTCTGCCTTTACATGATGCTGTTTGACATCCTTCAGGTAGCGACCCATATAATATTCTAAGGTGTTGAGGAAGGTGCTGTCTTTATCAATCAGCTGGGCAGCCCTGGGCTGACTGCTCAGCCAGTCCATCACTGATTCTAGTTGTTCCTCCTGGATCTCCTGCAGAAAAATACCGCCAAAGAAAGGGAGTCAACCACACATACGCTGAGACAAGACCTCCCTCCCAGACTCCCGATTCCTTGCCACGGGTTACAAAAATGCACTGTGCTCACCATCTGATCTGTGAAGATCTGCAGATCTGCAGGTGCTCCCTGCAAGGAAAAAAAAAAAAAATTGGTGACAGCAAGCTTGGTTGGGCAGGACAAATCTGGCTGGCACTGCACGATGGGCAGCTCTTACCTTGTCTGTTAGGTTGTAGATGACCCGTGTCAAAGCTTCAGCAATGATCCTGGTATTCCTGGTTAGTGCCTTAGTATCTATTCGTGCCCTAAAGCAGAAGACAGAATTCTGGACTTTTTAATGGGATCACCTTCCTCTAGAAAGCACCATCTTTCACTGTACCAAGCATGAGCCTGAATCCAGAGCCTAACTCCCAGTGTTTTTTCACCCATCCTGTGGCCATAAGAACAGCACAAGCTGTCACGAGGCCAATTGGTGTTTACGGACTGGATTACAGCTGCAGCCCTCTCTAGGGCCTCTAACCTCCTATCCATGATGCTGTTGCGCAGGCTGTCCCGGTGGCTCTCCAGATGGGAGACGGTGAATGCTGGCAAGCGTCGGATTGCAAAACGCTCATGCTCCCACGCCAGCATGTCCTCAGCCAAGTTTATCTTCTTGTGCACCATGGAAAACTTCACCTCTGGGAACTGGCTGGCCACAACCTGAGGAAAAGGACAAGCCATCCAGGGTGTCACGCTGCCCACTGCGTAGTCCCATCTTGCACTGCCCAGTCCACCTAGACCCATTTTTTTGTGTTCCAGAAGGTAAATATACTTCCACCTATAACGTGCAGTTATCGTCATTAAAAAATCATTTTAATGTCAAAAAGGCCATTTTAATGTCACTACAGGGTAGCTTTTGCAAGCAACAAGTCATAAGGAAGTCCACTGGAAAATGCATCAAGCTTACTCTGCTTCAAGTCCAAAGTTCCCATCTACCTAAAATGCTTTTCATTACCATCTCCAGTTCTCTCAGAAACGCATGCTGCAAGGTCCCTTCCTTGGGAGGTTTTGAGACATGGAGATGAAGACTATTGCCTCGGCCCAGAGTATCAAGGCAGAGAACAAATGCTACGTTGTCCTGCAGCAGGCTGGAATCTGGAACAGAAAAATCCAAACCTTTATTGCTATGTTTAGTGCTAGAAATTCCATCCCAAAAAAGCAAGGCCCACACAAGGAGATTCTCATAGGAGGACTGACATACTAGACACTTAACATAGGTCCTATTGACAGAGGCCTTGCCACAGAACTTGCTGGAATGCCTGCCCCTTACTCACCAGTGTGGTCCAAGTTGTCTTCCAGCCACCGCTTGGTTCCTTGATAATTAAACTTGCCACCTCCAGATGCAAAGAAGAGCAAGTTATACCTGCCCATCAAAGATGACAGGAAAGTGTTAACATGCTGCACTCCATGGCTACAGAACTCCTTCACACAGCAGTGGAGGTATGATCACCCAACATTCAAGGCAAACTGTCCATTAACAAACACCTCCTACACACCACAAACAAAGGTAACAGCAGCACAGGGTAAAAGCAAGGAGGTCCCAGCGCTTGAGGATAGAATCTACTTCCCACATCATTCTTTCCACTTGTCCCTAAGCTTAAGCAGAGCTACATCAAAGGAACCAAAGGAAGGAGCTTGGCCACTGACAGCAGCTGTACTCAGAGGAAAACAAAACAGAGCAAAGGAAGTAAAGAACTGCCTGTCTACAGGTCTGGAGCAACAGCCGTTCTTATCTGATCTCAGCTACACCCATGCAACCAAGAATAGGGTGGGTTCTTACCCAGCATGTGTACGTCTGTAGGTGTAGAGCCGGGAAAACAGCCTGGCTAGTTCCAGTAGCACTGAGATACCACTGCCATTGGAGTCAGCACCGTGTGACAGCCACTGCAGGACAAAGTGGGACAGAGACAAGGTGAGAACCCTACACCTATTCTCACACACCAGAACAGCCTTCAAGGTAACACACCACCATGCTTCACTTATAACTGCCCCACATCTTTAAAGCCATGAAAAAACATAGGAACAGAGGCTACATGGGGAAAAAAGACAGGAACCGAGAACTTCAAGAAGAAAGAATACTCACTGGAGCCACTCCAAAAGAATCATAGTGGGCAACTATCACCACAGTCGGTAAGTCTTCTCCCCCCAGCCCCGTTAGCCTTCCCTGCAGAGGAAAGAGATGTCGCTCAGCACCACCTCTTGTGCGCCTGTACAAAGACAGCCCAACTTCTATAAGCCTACCAGGTCCACAGTGGCCTCAGTTCCAATGACTCCAGATACCTGTCAGAGACCACCCTGACTTCCCCTATCAGTCCAAATGTCAAATGTCTGATGAAGTCCTAATAAGAGAAGGTATCTCATCAACGTTGTCAGTTTGAATCCAGTTGTATACAACTCACCTCCACACTGGGTATGAGCCAGTCATTGATAGCTTTGCTTTGGGCTCCACTGGTCACCATCTGGAAGCCATTGGCAGTTGCTGTGTGCAGCAGAACTAGAGCAAAAAAAAAAAAAAAATAGGTATACCTGGGGAAGTTTAATCCCTTTATTTGCCTCACTTTGGAGAGATCAGCTTTGAACCATTTAAGACTTCTCACTTGTCGCTTGTGTTTATGCACTGACACGGAATCTTGGAGACCATGCATTTTCTTTCTGTACTGAAAACACAGTATTTTGAGCTGTCTAAACCAAAAACTTTTCTCCAGCAGTCCTAAACTTAATCATGAGCACAGGTCAGTAAGATAGTGAAGTTATTTACAGGGAAATACATGGAAGTATTGAACTGACTTGTGGTGAGACAAAAAGCTTCAGCTTCTACCAACACACTGTAGTCACTTACCACCTTCAATGTTGGTTTTAACCTGAGTTTTCCTTTATATTTTACTTGCAACAGTGTGAAGCTGAGAACTCAACTCCATGCAATTGTACTTCCAAAGAGCTAAATAACACCTTCTGTAATACTGCATTGTTCTTCCATTAAATCTCAAAGCACTTTAAGACAGAAGAAACACGAAGGCAACAGAACACTGGTTCATGATGCACATGGCACAGCAGACTGCTCCTAGAGGTGGGATCAGGCCTGTCTCCCTCTAAACCTTTCCCCCACTTGTTGGAACTCACCTTCTGCAGCCGAGGCAGAACCCTGCGATGCAGAAGCAGCCCGTGTTTGTTCGTAGATAGACAGCAGCTCCTCATCTTCCACTGCAAAGTAGACTGGCACAATGGTTTCCATAGCAAGCATTTCTGGTTCTATCTCCATGAATTGCTGATGATTTAAATAAGACACAAAATTAGAATCTGCTAATCATTCAAGAGGGCAGAAAAAAAAATCAACAACCAAAGCAAAGGAAGTTAAATTCTCAAATCTGAATGTGATTTGCTGTACACTATAGCAGAAGCGTTCAGTCCTGCAGCAACCCAAGCCTCTCTCCCTCCCCAACACATCGCACAGAAGAGAAAGAGAACTCTTTTTTTTTTACCCTTACAACATCCTGTGGGACAGAAGAGATGGACTGTGGCAAGATGATCACCACAGCACCAGCTGACTGGCGGAGAGCCTTCTGGTACTGCTCATAGGAGAAATCCACCAGCCGCATCATGACACAGCGGCGGCTCAGGACGTCTGCTTCTATGGTACGGGCTTCTGTGTTAAGCACTGCACTCCTGGTGCCTGTGTGGAGAGAACAAGAGGTTTCATAAGTGATTTTACCACTTCCTGTTTGCTTGAGCCTAGCTCCTTCTCAGAATAGTCTTGGTGACAGTCTGATGAACTTCTGAGCAGCCAGGACCTACAGAGAGCTAAATTCAACTCTTCCACCTCATCCAAGAAGGAACCGAGATCTGTGTTTTTTCCTTGCAGCCATCAGAGCAACATCCGTGCAGCCATGTCCTGCCAGGCTCCCCTTACTCCAGCACTACACAGCCTCGACCACCTTCCAGTCTTCCTTCCCACCACAGCCACGTGCTGCCTGTCCACTCGCCCGGACCCAATGCCTGAAGGCAGCAATACCTCTTGAGAAAGCCTGACCTCTTGCGATGCATCCTCCAGCCACAGGATTGTGTCCGCAAGCAGAGGGCACAAGCTGTACAGAACCACTCTGTGAACGGATGCAAGGCTACCCCATGTCCAGCCCACGGTCACCCCCCAGTATGTTTCTGTGGCTGAGGGAATTACAAATGAACAGGCTGCTTCTAACTGCTCGCTCTCTCCTGCTCTGCTTCAGCATATCAAATTCCCCACACAAAAGTCTAATCCTTTGGGAGAACAACAGTCTCCAAGTGAGGACCACAAGGACATCTTGTATAGAGACATTCAAAATCCATCTTACAATTCATAATGCTCCAAATCCAATTTCTTCTAGAACTCTGGCACCTACACTGAAGACTTCATCACACTGGTCCCCATGCAGCCAGGGAAGGAGCAAGGCGCTCCACAAGACACGTCAGCCTGTGCCAAATAGAGGCATTGCTAGAGGTTAGATTTCAGCCTGGCTTAACTTTAACATTACTTTGGTCTCATCAAAGGACAGATCACCTGGACAAGAAAAATCTGTACTTCCACTGCACAGTATCAGTGAGGGCCATATATACAGAAATGGAGTTAAGGCACAATCTAAATTCACCACACAGAGCTCATACGCTGTCTAACAAACATTGCCAGCAGCCACCCTCATGGCCCAGCCAGAGAAAAACAATCTATAGTGAGGATAATCTCTCCACCATTCCCTAAACCAACAACATATAAACACAGTAAAGTGTGGATACAGAGTTCTGCTTCCAGCACAACCCCCTGACATCCAAGTAGAGCAGACACAACAGCATTTTCTGACAGCACAGCATGACAAGTTGACTTTATTCTAGTTTCTCTACAGAGAACTGAATAATCATTCACTTACAATCTAAAGAACTCTACAGAATAAACAGCATCAGAGAAAGTCCAGGTAGTTCTTCAGATGATCTATGACTGATATTAACCTTGTCCCTGCAAGTAAAGGCTCAGCAGCAATCTCTATTTGGTCATTCTGGAACAGGAAGAGTCAGCCATGGCCAGAACACATGCCCTGATCCAGAATACAGTATCTACAGAAGACTCAGAAACTACACTTGATTCTGGGTTTGGGAGTACTGGGGGGGTGGAGAATGAAGGTTACAACATTTCAGCGATTTGAAGATCACGCTGTTTCTGACTCAAAGAAACATGTTGCACAATCAGCATCCTGGTAGCAACAGAAGAGAGTAACTGGAAATCAATCACAAGATAAAGGAAGAACTGTAAAAGAAAGGACTCTCAATGAGGAGACACTGTAGGAATACACACTGCTAACTGAAACTAAAGAAGAGGCTGAAAAGCAAAGAAGAATCAAACTGACAATACAGGAGTTAAAGCCAAGAGATCAAAACTGGGCTCATAAACAGTTCACCAGTATGCAAATGGTCCGCAGCTGGACTACTTGAAAACACATGGGAGTTCACTCCACAGAGAGGAGCCTGCAAGGACATAGCAGGGTCCCTGGCCACCTCCAGGTCACCGAGTGGGAGCACCTTCCTGCTCGTGCAGAGGCCTGGCAGTAAAACTCAGCCAAACAGGCCCCACCCGTGGCCTCCCCTGGGTCTAAACCCGGACCCAGGCCCCGCTGCAGCCTCCGCTGGCCCTCCAAGCTCTCCTGCAGCTTCTCTTGGGCTGGGTCGCCCTCCCCAGGCCGGCCGCGGTTTCGCGGCCT